ACAAAATGTAAGTCAATTTCCGGGTGTTTTATGTGACCATGATACAAAGGATTGGTTGTCAAATAAATAGTATTGACATTGTCGCGATAAGATCGTCAACGGATCGAATTTGGATTAGATTATAGTATATTCGAATCTAATTTGTTTAATAAAATATATCAAATCAAATCTTATGAATTCATATTGGGTTTTGAAAATGTGAATCCGGATGCTAAAAGATACGGAGCTCTATCGAATTTATCACTTGATTTTTGTAAAAACATTATGCTTACTACATTTAATATATTGCTTGAATATAAAATATATTTCAACCACTCGCATGTGTAATAAAATATATTAAGATAATATTTTATCTATTATTTTTTAAAAAATTCAAAATGTCACACAATGCAAAAGTACAAAATCAAATAATCTTAATAAAAGTTTATTTTGAACCGGGTAAAAAGTATGATAAAACTAAAAAAATAACAAAAAAATAATTTTATTTCTTACTCTCATGGTGGCAAAATAAATATTTGTTAATTCAAATTTCAAGATTATAATACTAAAAATCAAGGCCTATTAAAAAAGAAAGAAAAGACAATCTATTAATGTTATTATATATTTTTAATAATTGGTTAATGCATAAAGAGTAGAAATATAATGAATTAAGTAAATGAAATACCATCGGTTTTTCTATTCAATTTGAAAACCAATCACTTGTAGTAGTTATTACCTCTACAATCTCTAGAAGTAAAATGGACGATAATTATTAATAACTCTACCCTCTATATTGAATTTTCTATAGGATGAGAGTTGATCCGAGTCAAGTTTAAAACATATAAATTATAGGCTTATCTCTTAACTTTAATTTGCTGCAAAGATTGTATGAATTGGACCTCTATACATAAAGTTATACCCAAAATATTTGAGTATGTTTGAATGAATTTTTTTTTCTCTTTTTCTAAATTTATAGAGGAAAAGAACTCCATTTGCACAAATCTTATCCAATTTTCGTTGATTTTTTTTATTTGCTCTCTTTTTTATTCTTTTCATTTTTTTTGTCATTCCAATCAATTGGTTTTTTTTTCTAGTCCTTATTTTTCTCTCTTCTTCTTACTTTTTTTTTTTTCATTTTTTTGATTTTTTTATAGCAAAAATAAGATGATGAAAAATATAATAACACCAAGTCTTAAAAAATATATAATCCAATTTAACACAAAATTAAATTAAGAAAATGATAAAAAAATTATATGTGATTATTTGAAAATGCAATCGTCGTTGTAGAAAGATATGCATTATTTGAATTTTATAATAAATAAACTCTTAAATTTCAACTTAGTTTCATATTTATATATTTTTTCATATTTAAAATTTTAAAATATTATATTTTTATAAAAATATTATTTTTAAATTTTGAGTCGGATTATTATCGGATTCGATCAAAGTAAATCTAGATTTAATCCATTCAATAAATAAGTTAACGGATCCGGATCATAATTAGACTCGGATCAAAAAAATTGTATAAAGATCTATTTAATTACAACAAATTTGAGTTAAGATATGATTCATTTATAGTCTTAATCACATAGTAGCACAGGAGGTTTGCGCAAGGGTACACCTAGTTCATGAAGAACATTGCATAACCACGTTAACTCGGCCACAATACTTGCAACCACTTGATACTCGGCCTCCGTGTTTGAATGCGACACCGTATGTTACTTTTTACACATCCAAAAAACTAAAACATTAGAGTAGAAGAAAGCGACCCTAGATGTTGAGTATCTAAGCAAAATAGCCAATCGAGTCGAATACACAACGAGATCTATAAGCTAATAGGCTTGGCTTAATGGGAGACTATAATCCAATGTGTTAGCAATATAATGAAGGAAATGTTTAGCTGCATGGAGATGAGTTAAAGTAGGCTTGTGTATGAATCGACAAAGGCTATTGATCGCAAAGGCAATATCAAGACGTGTGAGTGTGAGATATTGCAAAGCCTTAGCAAGGTTTCGAACTCAATAGCTTTAGACAAAGATGTACCCTCGTAACTCGATTAATTTGTTCCAAAAATAGGAGTGGAAACCGATTCGAAATTTAACATATTTTTCTTTTCAAGAAGATTACGAGCATACCATGTTTGAGAGAGGAACATCTCATTTGATGTCCCGATGACTTGTATGCCAAAAAAAAAAAAAAATAGTGTAGTGGACCTAAGTCAAGGAAAATTCTTCTTTCAATGTGTGAATAATTTCAGCCATAAAATTATCATCCGAATCGACCAAGATAATGCCAACATATAAAAAGAGCACCAAACAAGTCTGTATAAGTTTGATAGATAAACATAAAAGAGTCGAAGTTATGCTCGTAAAAATTATAGGATAAGAGAAAACCACTAAAGCTTTGAAACCAAGCGTAAGGTGCCTTCTCGAGACCATATGGGGCCTTTTGTAGTTTGCATATATGACAAACGTATTTCTTATCAATAAAACCATGTAGTCGACTTATATAAACAATATCAATTAACTTACTACGAAGAAATATGTTTTTGACATCAAGTTGCCACACAAAACAATTATGAGAAATAGTATGCGTGAGAACAATATTGTTGATTCCGCAAGAGTACGGATCGCTCAAGTAGTATAAAAAGATATCGTTCCCACGAGGACTATGTTTTATCCACCAATTGACTTAGTTTTGATTTGTTTAAGATTAATACAATAAAGATGATATATATAAATCAAGGAAGGATTCAATAACGAAACAAGAATTGAAATTACTAGAAACTTAAAGAAATTGATTAAGGTTTAATAGGCTATTAACACTATCCACATCCCGTATTAGTCTTTCTAATGGATTTAATACGACTAAGGCTTTAGATATCCAATGGTGTTAGTTAGTTTCTCTTAAGCAACAACTAAACTATCGACTTGAAGAAACATGAGCGAAATTATAGTTTCTCAACTAATAACCCCAAACCCAAATCGTTTCAATCAATTCCTTAAGCAATCTTTCAAGCAATTAATCAACAATCACGATCTCTCCATAATCATCAATTAACTCGATGTTCACCGATCTATTATGCAACAATTCTCATTGAAACATAACACAAATCATCCAATTCAATTTCTCAATTATAATTAGAGCATGAAGCACAATAAACATCACAAAGTTAATATTAAACCCAAAAGATTAACATCAAAAGGAATGTTTCAAGAGTTAATCCCTAATGAAAATTTAGCAATCCATCATCATGATTGACAATAGCATATTAAAAACAATTAGAGTCATAAAACAAGAACAAAAGAAGAAAGAAAGAAAGAACTCTTGAATGTTGCCAAGAACTTCTTCTAATTTTCTTCTTTGATTCTCGGGCTCCCTTTCTTCTTTGTTTGTTTTCTTGTTTTCTTGCTCCCAAAAACCGTTTCTTTCTTTCGTCTTATGGCTTTCTTTTATATTCACTCGACTCGCCCAAACGAATGGCTCTTGAGTGACTTGTTATAATGTCACGGTTTTGGTCGAGCGAGTGTTGTACGATCGTGCATAAATCGGTTCCAGTAGCTTCGTTGCGACCGTGCAACTCGCATGATGGTGCATTATGCAACTAGTATAATTTTAATGCTCAAAACGTCCTTAATCTGCAATAATTACCATAAAAACAAAGAGTAATGGCCCAAACCACTTCTTTAACATTTAAAACTTAAAATAAAACATTCTAATTATTATTAAAAACATAAAAATAACTCCTAAGCATAATTACTACCATAAAAACACACCTAAAGAAACATTAAAAATACTTATATCAACTTCCCCATACTTAAAATCTTGCTTGTCCCCTACAAGGTAAGATCAAAGCATGGGATAAAGGCATTGAATCAAATCAAAGGTGCAATCACAAGATGTTGCAACATACAACCATATGCACAAAATGAATAGTGTAAAACCCCGAGTATGTACGACTTACTTATCACATACCTCGGTATTTGAGTGTTGTATTTAAAGAAGCTCGACGATCAAGTCTTTTATCTTATCAAGTACACCTAGAACTCATTCACCCCATTACTAAGTCAAATTTATTTATTTATTTTTTTGTTTTAACTAGGACAAACTTGGCTTTCGATTTGTATAACATAACATGCGTAACATGCACCATTTCTTTGCACTTTTCATTTTATTTTCACTTTCATCCTTACTATTTTTGGTTGTTACAAACAAGTCGGTGAATTAGGAGTCCCAATGTGCTTCGCACTTATTAATAGCCAACCAAGAGGTGGATCCTCCTTTTTACGCGAAGATTGCTCATTTGTGATACGTGCCCTCGGTTACTCATACTAGGTGGTGGAGCCAACCATGCACTTGTCCTTGTTTAGGTTCAACCTCGAGAGGTCCTTAACCATTTTCAAACATTTCATTTCTTGCCAAGTTTGCCCTAGGAGTTTCAAGCATATTCGATCAACTTAATAACAAGTTTAGTGAGTCCCACAATGTCCACGGTAAGATGAAAGAATTAAGTTTCAAGCTCACTTGTCCATGCAACAACAGAACATCAATATATGTTTTAAGTAACAAGCACATACTCATTGTTCTAAACCGATCATTCAATTCACATGACGATACACTACAAAATCCATTCAAGCATCTCTAATTCAAATTGCACACTATCATCATAATTGTAGCACAATCAATATGATCACAATCACAAACAAATACACAAACACACAAAAATAACTAAAAGGTAAGCATGCAAACATGGACAAAAAATAAAATTCAAAATCCCCCTCCCCACACTTCAATGGTCATATTGTCCCCAATGTGGACCAACACAAAAAAAACACAAACAAACAGATAAACGGAATAGCGAACATAACACATAAGAAAAACACAAGCAACAAAGAGACAACTAAAAAAAATAAAAAAATAAAAAAATAAATCAACACAAAATAAAGGTGAGAAGGCTTATTTAGTGATGTGGAGAACCCGAAGGCGATGGGGTTGGTCAAGGAATGTAAATGGTGCTCGCCTCAAAGAACTTGAGCATTTTTTTTATTATGATATCGTTGAAACTTGGCCAAGTTTTGGATTTGAGTTTTCATGGCGATCATTCTCGTGTCATAGATTGCATTTGTCTCCTCCATCTTTGTAAGGACAATTCTCCACCCTTCGACCTCGGGGTCATTTTCCACATCGTTACTCGGAGTTCGTAACTCGTTGAAGATAAGTGTGGGATACCATTTCAATTCCCGAAACAAGTACGAGTATAAGTGGTCCCGGAGACCAAAAGCACCAACGTAAAGGATTTTCGCTCTCCTCAATTGATCTTCTTGAAAAAACTCTTTGACAAACGGGGTCGAGCCGTAAACATTAATGCAAAAATGGGTTGCTAAAGTAGTCACAATGTAACCCATTCCCATTGCCCTATAATGCTTACCCGCAATAACCACAATAACATGGAAGATGAAATGAGATGCGAGAGAATTTCACTTTATTATACATGTACCACAATAAAAATAAATCTTTTTGAGAGCATTTGTTGTTGTCTACCTTCCCAAAAATTATATGACAAATAAACTTATGAAGCATTAAGACACTAGCATCTCGAATGAAACCATTTGGTGCATCGTGTGGATTGAAAGTATCCAAACTAGTTAATTGTTTCCAAAATTATGACCCTTTAAAATTTTAATGAGATTAAATGGGTGGTCCCTTAGGCAACTTAAGAATTTAATTCAAAAGCTCAAGAGTAACCGCATAAGACCCACCAAACAACCTAAACCGAAGAGATGTCAAATTTTTAATATCATAACACAAGGTGGTGTAAAATTCCCAAGTTAACTCTTCACAAGTTGCAAGGTCACAAGTAATGAAATTCTCCCATCCTACCTTTTTGCTCAAATTAACCATGGAGTCCTTAATACCCAATCTTTCTAACAACTCAAAATCAAAGTATCTAGGCTCGGTAATATCTCACTTACGAGTAAATTGAAATTTCTTACCTTCTTCTTCGAGTAGATCGAGAATGGCACACCAAATTGATTTGCAAGGTCGGGTGGTGGTGTAGGTGGCGTCGCCTCTTTCCCTTTTCCGGATTGACTCGCCGGCCTCCTCTTGATGGGTGGTTTTGTTCTTGGTGGCATGGTGAAGCTTCCTTGTAAGCTTAAAAAAAATTACCCGAAGAAGGACATTAAGGAATAAGGAAGGTAAAAGATGAGAATGGAGAAGATTGGAAAACAAAAGAAAAAGGAAAAGGTTGTAGAGACAAAGTAGGAGTGAGAAATAAGGAAAGAAGGTGAAACATAGAAGGAAAGAAATGGGGTGGTCGTGATAAGTTAAACTTTTAGGGTTTTTTTTTAAATATTATTGCTTAAAACATAAAGCTTCCACTCAATCTGTCACGGTCGTGCAACAATGCATGCTCGCGACGAAACTTTTCCAAAAGTTTTCGCACAATCGTGCATACATGCACGATTTCCTTTTTTTTTTTCATCAACAATGTAAAACTCAAAACATGCTAAATTTAAGGTCTTTAACTTGACCCTCATGTCTTTAGAGTTCAAGTTGAATTGGCTAGAGAAAGTGTTTCCCTTCTCTGAGAAGAACCCTCCAAAATATGGCTTACATCGATGCCCGTTAGCTTTGAAACTTTCTCCCTTTTCATTTTTTACAACTAATGCTCCATGAGTGCAAACTTGAACCACTTCAAATGCCCCGCTCCATCTTGACCTCAACTTTTTAGGGAACAACTTAAGCCTAGAGTTAAACACTAAAACTTTGTCACCCACTTTGAACTCTTTTTTCTTAATGTGAGCATCGTGCCACCTTTTTGTCTTTTCCTTATATAATTGAGCATTCTCATAAGCATTGAACCTCGGCTCCTCAAGCTCATTTAGTTGCAAGAGTTTTCTTTCTTTAACTTTCTTAAAATCAAAATTTAAGGTCTTGATTGCCCAAAAGCTTTGTGCTCCAATTCTACCGAAAGATGGCAAGCTTTCCCATAGACAATTCTATATGGAGTCACGCCAATCGACGTTTTGAATGCCATTCGGTACGCCCACAAAGCATCATCTATCTTACTTGTCCAATCCTTTCTTGAATTGTTCATCGCTTTCTCTAAGATCTTCTTCAATTCTCGATTCATGACCTCAACTTGACCGTTTGTTTATGGCTGGTATGGAGTTGCCACCTTTTGATGTACACCATATTTCTTCAAGAGACCTTCCAACCTTTGATTGTAAAAGTGTGATCCCCCATCACTAATGATCACTCTTGGCACTCCAAATCTCCCAAAGATCTTCTTCAAAAATTTAGTCACTACTTTGCTTATCATTGGTAGGACTTGCCAAAGCCTTAACCCACTTTGACACATAGTCAACTCCCACCAAAATGTATTTGTTCCCAAAAGAAGATGGAAAATGGCCTCATGAAATCCAACCCTCATACATCAAACATTTCTACCTTAAGAATGCTCAAAAGTGGTATTTCATCTCTCTTAGTAATGTTCCCAACTCTTTGACATCTATCACAATGCATTGCAAACTCTTTTGCATCTTTAAACAATATTGGCCAATAGAAACCACACTCCAACACTCTAACGATTGTTTTATTGGCACCATAATGACCGACATAAGAAGAATCATGGCAATGTGTAAGAACATTTAACATCTCGTCTTCAAGAATACATCTCCTTATCAATCCATCTACATAAAGTTTATAAAGAAAAGGCTCTTCCCAAAGATAATGAGTAGCATCAAAGAAAAACCTCTTCTTTTGTTGATAAGTCAAATCGGATGGTACTAAACCATTTACAAGATAATTAGCCAAATCAGCATACCGGGGAGTTTGTAAATGTTGGATTAAAAGAATGGACTCATTTGGGAATTACTCATTAACCTCCTCCTCTCTTTGTGCACTATCCCTTTTAAGTCGTGATAAGTGATCCGCCACCAAGTTTTCGGCTCCCTTCGTATCTTTTATCTCCAAGTCAAATTCTTGAAGAAAAAGAATCCATCGAATGAGCCTTGGCTTGGAGTCTTTCTTTGCAAAAAAATACTTAAGAGCTGCATAGTCGGTGTATATAATAACTTTTGAACCAAGAAGATAAGGTCTAAATTTATCACAAGCATACACTATCGCTAAAAACTCCTTCTCGATTGTGGTGTAGTTCAATTGGGCCTTTGTCAAGGTTTTACTTACATAGTAGATGAAATGCAACTTTTTGTTCTTCCTTTGGCCTAGAACACAACCAAGAGCTTGATCATTTGCATCACACATGATCTCAAAAGGGATACTTCAATCCAAAAAAGTCAATATTGGTGTCGTAACTAGAGCCTCCTTCAACTTGTTAAAAGCATTAAGACAATAAGAGTCAAAGTTAAAAGGCACATCCTTTACCAATAAATTAGTTAGTGGCCTAGCAATGGAAGAGAAATCCTTAATAAACCAATGGTAGAAACCAGCGTGGCCCAAGAAAGCTATAACTCCTTTCACATTTATTGGTGAAGGGAGTCTTTCTATCACATCGAGCTTTAGCTCTATCAACTTCAATACCTTCCTTGAAAATTTTATGCTCAAGTACAATGCCTTCTTCCACTATGAAATGGCACTTCTCCTAATCGAGGACCAAGTTAGCCTCCTCACACTTATTGAGCACTCTCTTTAGATTTTTCAAACATAACTCAAATGAATTTCCAAACATCGAAAAATCATCCATAAACACTTCTATAATGTCTTCAATCATATCCATAAAAATGGCCATCATACACCTTTGAAAGGTGGCTAGTGCATTACACAACCCAAATGGCATACGTCGGTAAGTGAAGGTGCCATAAGGATATGTAAAGTTTGTTTTCTCTTGGTCTTCGGGATTGATAAAAATTTGATTATAACCCGAAAAACCATTAAAGAAATAATAGTAAGAATGACCCATAATTCTCTCAATCATTTGGTCAACAAAGGGAAGGGGAAAGTGATCCTTCCTTGTGGTTGAGTTCAACTTCTTATAATCAATACATACTCTCCAACCCGAAACCATTCTAGTGGAAATCAACTCTCCTTCTTCATTCTCTACCACTCGTTATTCCTCCTTTCTTTGAAACACATTGCACCGAGCTCACCCATTCACTATTCGAAATTGGATAGATAATTCTTGCATCTAGCAATTTGATAACCTCTATCTTTACCACCTCCTTTATGTTGGGATTCAATCTCCTTTGTCTCTCCATCACCGTCTTACATCCTTCTTCTAAATGGATTTTATGTATCACAACATCCGGACTAATACCCCTTATATCAAAGAGTTGCCACCCAATAGCCCTTAACTTACTTCTCATTACTTCTACCAACCTATCTTCTTGCTCTTTTGATAAATTACTAGACAAAATGATAGGTAGAAGTGTCTTCCTTACCCAAGAAAGCATGCCTAAGGTGACTTGGTAAAGGCTTGAGCTCAAGTGTAGGTGGCTTGACAATTGATGGTGGTGCAGGGGTATCCGTCCTCATTATCAACTTCGGTATAGACGTCTCCTCCTCCACACTAGCTACTACTTGCTTTTCTTCTTAAAAAATTTCATCCTTTTACTTCTTCTCTTCCTCTTTTACAACACATTCCTCAATCACATCCACTCTCATATAAACCTCAATTTCCATAAGATGTTCATAGCTTTGCTCATGCAAAACTACACTTGTTCTTCTCTTATCCTCAAAATGAGCCTCCCTCATACACATTCACCAAGGCTCTTTCGGTGTTCAAGAATGGCCTCCCAAAGATCAAAGGACAATTCTTGTCTTCATCATATTCTAGCACCACAAAATTCACCGGATGATGAATTTATCCACCTTCATCAAGACATCCTCGATCATACCATAAGGTCTCTTAATAGATTGGTCGACCAATTGCAGTACCATTGGAGTTGGCTTCACCTCTCCCAAGCCTAATTTTTTGAAAATAGACATAGGCATGAGGTTAATACTTGCTCTATTGGAGTTGGCTTCACCTCTCCCAAGCCTAATTTGCTGAAAATAGACAAAGGCACGAGGTTAATACTTGCTCTCAAATCACATAAACATTTAGCAAATTCTAAATGTCCAACAACACAAGGAATTATAAAACTCCCTAGATCTTAAAGTTTTGAAGGCATTTTACTAGAGATAATGGAGCTACAATTCTCTCGTTAAAGAAATCGTTTGGTTTTCATCCCAAGTCCTCTTGTTTGATAAGATGTCCTTCAAGAACTTTGCATACTTGGGCATGTTCTCCAATGCCTCTATAAAAGAAAGGTTTATTTCCAATTTCTTTAATTTCTCTAAAAATTTGGAGAATTGAGTGTCAAGTTGTTGTTTCTTTAACCTTTAAGGAAAAGGCACCTCGAGCACAAAGGAAGAGGATGGAACATCCGACTTGCTTACTTGTTTTCCTTCCTCATTTCTCTTCTCCTTAATTGGTTCTTTTTCTTTCTTCTCAACTAGGGCCGCACTTACTTCCTTACCACTCCTAAGAGTGATTGCCTTCAATTGTCCCCTTGGATTAGATTCCGTGTTACTTGGCAAACTCCCTAAATTCCTCGTTGACAAAGCATTAGCTAATTGCCCAACTTGCACCTCCAAGTTATGAATAGATGAAGAGTGGTTTTTAACAATTTGATCAAACTTCGCCTCCATTCTCTTTTGAGCCTCCTCTTGACTATTCAATTTGCTCCCTATTGTATCAATGAATTTATCCATCTTGGAGTCCATCGAGAAAAGTCGATCTTGTTGAGGATTTTGTTGAAATCCGGATGGCCCTCGGGGTTTGACCATGTTTCTTACATTGTTAGACCATGAAAAATTCGGGTAGTTTCTCCAGCTGGATTATATGTATTAAAATAGGGATTATTCCCCACACTTCCTTGTTGAAACCCCACAAAATTAATCTGCTCTTCATTTACTCCTCCTAAGAAACAATTTGTAACAAGGTGCCCAACTTGACAACATTGCTCACATGGATTTTGGATAGCGGCCACTTGACTTAAAGAACCCATTCTCATGTCATTTATTTGCTTTGATAATTTCACCACTTCCACTTGCAATGTTGTCATCGGATCAAGGGACGTAACTCCATTTTGTTCTTTTATCGATGCCTTAGTCTTCTCCATTGCCCATAAAGAATTATTGGTTGCCATCCTTCAGAAGATCATATGTGGCATCAACTCGTTTTTCTCATCAATGAACCACCCGCCGTCGCATCAATGGTTCCTCTTGTAGTAGGATTGGCTCCATTATAGAATGTTGCAACAATAATTCCCGTGGCAAATTATGATGTGGACAACTTTGTTGAAACTCCTTAAATCGCTCCCAAGCTTCATATAAGGACTCCCTTCGGCTTGTTGGAAAGTGGTAATCTCTTTGATAATCCTTACCGTTTTTACCAAAGGAAAATACTTGGCTAAGAAAGCTTGAGCCAATTGATCCCATGTGTTGATAGAACCCGGAGCCAATGAGTTTAACCATGCCTTGGCTCGATCCCTTAGAGTGAAAAGAAATAATTGAAGCCTTATTACATCATCGGACACACCATTGTATCCGAATGTGTCACAAATCTCTAAGAAATTGGTGATGTGAGCATTTGGGTCTTCATTGGCCAACCCATTGAATTGCACAGTTGATTGAAGCATTTGGAGCAACATCGGTTTTATCTCAAAATTATTGGCATTAATCGGCGGACGTGCAATACTTTGTTGGTTTGCATTGAAACTCAACCTCACATACTCCATGAGAGTTCTTTGTTGGCCCACTTAATTCCCTTCTTCCTCTCGCCATTTTGTCTCTTTCTTGATGGATTTCTCTTCTAAGATCCCTCTCGTATCTTGTAATTTACGGGATGTATGTTACTAGTGGTTGTTGCGACCTTTTTGATCTCCTCTTTGGCATACACCCGAAATCACGTCGAAGCTAGAGATTTAATCACAACAAAAATAAAATTGAATTTTTAAATCAAGCCAAACTAAATCAACACAAATGTTAAACACAATAGTCCCCAAGCAACGACGCCAAAAACTTGTTAATTCCGCAAGAGTACGGATCGCTCAAGAAGTATAAAAAGATATCATTCCCACGAGAAGTATGTTTTATCCACCAATTGACTTAGTTTTGATTTGTTTAAGATTAATACAATAAAGATGGTATATATAAATCAAGTAAGGATTCAATAACGAAACAAGAATTAAAATTACTAGAAACTTAAAGAAATTGATCAAGGTTTAATAGGCTAGGAATTAACACTATCCACATCCCGTATCGGTCTTTCTAATGGATTTAATACGACTAAGGCTCTAGATATCCAATGGTGTTAGTTATTCTCTCTCAAGCAACAACTAAACTATCGACGTGAAGAAACATGAGTGAAATTATAGTTTCTCAACTAATAACCCCAAACCCAAATCGATTCAATCAATTCCTTAAGCAATCTTTCAAGGAATTAATCAACAATCACGATCTCTCCATAATCATCAATTAAGCCGATGTTCATCGATCTATTATGTAACAATTCTCATTGAAACATGACACAAATCATCCAATTCAATTTCTCAATTGTAATTAGAGCATGAAGCACAATAAACATCACAAAGCTAATATTAAACCCAAAAGATTAACATCAAAAGGAATATTTTAAGAGTTAATCCTTAATGAAAATTTAGCAATCCATCATCATGATTGACAATAGCATATTAAAAACAATTAGAGTCATAAAACAAGAACTAAAGATGAAAGAAAGAAAGAACTCTTGAATGTTGCCAAGAACTTCTTCTAATCTTCTTCTTTGATTCTTGGGCTCCCTTTCTTCTTTGTTTGTTTTCTTGCTTCCAAAAAATCGTCCCTTTCTTTCTATCCTATGGCTTTCTTTTATATTCGCTCGACTGTCCAAACGAATGGCTCTTGAGTGACTTGTCATAATGTCACGGTTTTGGTCATGTAGTGTTGCACGATCGTGCATAAATCGGTTCCAGCAGCTTACGTTACGACCATGCAACTTTGCATGATGGTGCATTATGCGGCTAGTATAATTTTAATGTTTAAAACGTCCTTAATCTGCAATAATTACCATAAAAACAAAGAGTAACGGCCCAAACCACTTCTTTAACATTTACAACTTAAAATAAAACATTCTAATTATTATTAAAAACATAAAAGTAACTCCTAAGCACAATTACCACCATAAAAACACACCTAAAGACACATTAAAAATACTTATATCAACAATATGAACGGTAAAATGATGCTCCATTAAGCTGAAAGTATCTAAAAAATCCACACTAAGGTGTTATGTATAACATTTGGCCACCAACCTAGCCTTATATCTATCAAGAGAACCATTGGCTTTATGTTTGAGTCGAAATACTCATTTACACCTAACTAGATTCATATCAACACAACGTAGAACTAGAGTCCAAGTGTTAACACCTATTTTTTATCTTTATTATTTTATTTATAATTTTATTTTTATTGCAAAAATACTAAAAAATACTAATAAACAAGACAAAAAAAGTGCCAAGTATAAAAAGGTAAAAAATATAAAAAATTCAATTGAATTAATTAGCTTAGATTAGTTCTAAGAGGGGGCTAATTAAAAAAATAGAAAGTTTGAAACAAAAAATAAAATAAAAGACAATTGATGTTACAATTAAAGAAGTTCAAAACCATAGTCCTTTAATTAAAATAAAGAAGGGGGCATAATTAAAAAAATTAAAAAGAAAAGTCTTAATTAATTGAGATTTAATGATCCTATCGAAATAGGACAATTAGAATCGGACTTAAATTGGTGGACTATAGGGAATCAAGGATCAAATTGGACTTTTGCCAAAAATACCTATAAAAGGCCCTCCTTTGCATTTTGTGGTAAAGTCTACTTTTCATCCTTTTCATTTTCTTCACCTAGTCGACTCCTTTTCTTTTGCATCAATTGTCACCCGAAACCAGACCTTCCTCACCAAGCACCACCATCCTTTCTTACCCACACCCAATCGACTTCATTTCCTCTACACCAAACTCTAACTCGAAACTAACCTTCGTCACCCACATCATATCCTAATCCTTCTCCTTTGCACCAACCTCTCACCCGAAACCATTCTTCCTTGCCCATTAGCCTTCCTCACCCACATTATAACCTTTCTCATCTTACAGACCTTCTTGCCTACAATCACCTTCTAAACTAATTTTATTTAATTTTGAATTTCTAAAACAAAAGCATTGATGGCTCTCCATTTATGTGATAAAATAGTTAGTGGTTTCGGGATCATTTTGCTTGTTTTTTATTTGCTTGAAATAAAGCCACTTGTGGTTTCTTATTTATGTAGATAGAGCCATTAGTGGCTCTCGAATTAATTTTATTTAATTTTGAATTATTAAAATGAAACTGTCGTCGGCTTCCTATTTGTGTAATGAAGCCACTAAGTGGTTTTGAAACTATTTTATTTATTGTCCGTTTGTTTGAAACGAAGCTATTAGTGGCTTCCTACCTACGTGACGAAGTCGTCGGTTGGTTTCTAAATAGTTATTTTCTCCTTTTTGAGCAAAATGAAGTTGTTGGTGGCTTCTTACTTATGTAACAAAGTTGTCAATGACTTATTAAATTCATGACTCGAAGTTGTCGGTATCTTTCCACTTATGTGAGTAAAGTCATTGGTGACTTACTACTCATGCTAATAAAAACCTATTTATTTAGAAACTCATCCACTTGTTGGTAACATGTCATGTTCACTAAAGACTAATAAAAATTCTAACTTTCCCTTACCTTTCTCCTTTGAGCAGGGGTATTGACTTTAGATTGGCCTAAACCCTCAAACTACTCTATTTTATACCCAAACACCCGAACTACTCTATTTTTATATCTTAACAAAATAAAATCATATAAATGGACATAGAAGCATGATAAATAAGAAACCAAAATTTTATTCTCACATACCAATAATGTAGCCTCGCCTTAGGTAGAACGTGATATCTTCTCCATACGTAATCGACCTCTCACTCAAATATTTATGCAAACTAGTATGTTTAAGGTTTTCTAGTTTTCTCCGATCGGCTAGGTATTGATTCCTTATTCGCTCACGGTCTCATCCATCCTCATGTGCCAACGTTAATATAATGACGAATCTATGGGGACTTACCATGCTAGGGCTAAGCTTTGAATGTTTATGTTCATAAGTCTCTAATTGTTTGTTATATCTTTATGCTTATATGTTTTAAGTGAGTAATTGCTATTTATTTGTTTGTCCATCTTTGTTATGAAAATATGTATGTATATATGTGTGTCTGTTTCGTTGTTTTTCCTTGTAGGTTTAGTTATTTAATTCTTAGACTTTATTTCATGTTTTGAGATTGGATATGGAATTATGCTACATACACCTCACTACATAATTATAAATATTATTTGTATTTGCCGTAAGATTTATGGAGTTAGTAGTTATGCCTCGATGGGTTTTGCCCTAGGTAAACAATCATGAAACCTCAAGCCTTCTGCTAGCTACCATTGGTGATGGGTAATCGATGGTTTTTTTATGATTGCTAATATCATAATGGACGAGTCTTAGTTATTCCGCTAAAGATTCACTAGGCTGAAAGGTACCCTTTTGAAACTTAGATAGAGCCTACTTACTAGTGTAATGGCTAGAACCGGACCTTAGGATCATCTCTCCTAGATTAAATAACTATTAAATGCATTAGAAAAGTTAGACGTATTTAAAACCTTAACTAAGATAACTTGGTTACGATGTTTCGGGATGGATGACAAAAAAGTTCAAACTCGGTTTAAGCAAGCGTTAGCCAAATCATTAAAAGGTTACTAATGTAAATAATCACATCTTTAAACCTACCGCAAGCAATCTTATAGGCGGAGAAATAAAAAGGAAGGAACTCTTTTTTCACCCTCCATAGATGATCGATCCATATCCAATTACAAATGTCTTTATTTTATGTTAATATTATATATATTGCTATATTTTATTATTTTACCTAGAGAAGCATAAGTCATCCTATCAAAACTATATATTTTCCCCGAAGAGTTGACAACTCAAGCTAAAGTAAAAATTAACAATGAAGAAAGGGCTCAACTTGAGCAAAGCCATCAAAAGGAGTTAAGTACTTTCAAAGTAGAAGTGTTTAGGCTAGTTGCTTTACTTGAGAAAAG